ATAGTTGCCCTAGGAGGCCATATTCATTCCTGAATAAACAGATGTCTGTTGCATATTTATGTTTGTTTTTTTAACCATTTGCATATGTCTCTCACCTCTACTGGTCTTGCAATGTGCATGTGGCTATGCATATTCTTTTGTTGAGTTATGATTTCACTTTTGAGGAGTGTAAAACTAATTTCTATAATTTACAGATAACAAAAGATAATATTTCCTACTAACAAAATACTAAGTTTAAAACATACCTATATATACACAAGTTTTACAAATTTGTAAAACTTGTGTATATATAGGTATGTTTTTAAATCAAAAAATTTTTGATATATAATTTTATAGTTTGTGTATATATGTATATTATATATGTGTTGTATACTCCTTTAATATTTTAGTTGGCTGATGAGGGGCTTAGGAGCCCAAAACGTGTATAATTCCACATGTATCAACTGAATAAAAGATGAGAAAACCGCCAAGTTATAACACTTCATTGTGTCTGAAGCAACAAAGTTCAAAGCACAGTTTCAGATTATTAAGAGCCGTAATGTGTTTAAAATTAAATAATTGTTATATGATATTTATGTATTGTATACTCCTTTAATATTTTAGTTGGCTGATAAGGGGCTTAGGAGCCTGAAACGTGTATAATTTCACACATATCAACTGAATAAAAGATGAGAAAACTGCCAAGTGTCTTAATTTATAACACTGTCAGGTTGATCCCAACTTGTCGATTAAAGTAACTCGACCGACATAACGTAAAAACATGACACTTTTAATTAACTAGTAGATTATATTCTAACTCATTCTTACAATGTTTTTTTTTAACGAGCGGTATCACAGTTCGTGGAGCGTAGCGTAGGGTCGACTGGTCGTCTCGGCAGCTAGTCCAGAAGTAGTTCATCGGCTAACGCTCCGGGCAATTTACCGCCTTACAGAAATGTTGACTATTAGTTCGCGACAAGAAATAGTTCGCGACCGCAACAGTAGTCCCCCGCCAGCGATAGCGAGATATTTACAAATACCTGGGGTTAAATTTTACGCGACGACCTGCGCGTGTGACAGTTTTCTGTTGCTGTGGCGAAGCTTCTGCTGGGGGTACCGTTGTTGTTGCCTCTGTTGTTGCTGTTTCTGCTGAAGCTGTTGTTGATGTAGATGGGGAGAACGTTGAGTCATCCGCACATATGTATGCGGGTTTGAGTCTATCGATGTTGACAGTAATATGACGCTTTTTTACTTCCAGTTTGAAGTTTTTGGGTCCACGCTTTAACACACGGTATGGNACATTTTGTCTTAGACTCTAGGTGACACGAAGGAAGTCTTTGTATTGACGTTTTTAAACATTTTTTAATAGGAATACACAATAATGTTACATTAATTTTAATACTCTTACTTATTTCTGGAGTGGAATCTAATGCTGGTCCTTTACAAAGAACTCTGACAAAATGTGGAAGAAATGTTTTTTTGAAATGCAGAAAATGCAAACTCTGTTTGAACATCTTTTACATTATGACTTTTTACATTTATAAACAAATGTGTCAACTATCTTATACAACCCTTAACTCATTTTTATATTACTTACATATACATATGTTTTTTTATTTATTTTTCTTCCTTTTTCATTACTTTTAATTATATATTATTTTTACTTTTTTTTGGCATTTACTATGAATTATCTTGATTACTTATACTTTTCAGTTTGTCAGATTTTTAATATTATATATATCCGTGTATTATCACATTAGTTTTTTCGTAATTTTATTCACTGTATATATCACAAATCTTTTATTAATTACTTATACTATTACTGTTTTCATTTGTTATATTATCTTAATCTATGGATTAACTGTTATTTGGGGATGGAAATTTTGTCCAATGGCATTGCTATGTATATGTGTGGGGTTTAGACAAGTAACATGCCTAAACCATTAAGGCAATAAATTTGCGAGGAGTCGCGTGGGAGAGTCAAGTGAGGGGAGAAGCGAGAAGGAAGGAGTGTCAAGCAAGGGACAGTAGTAAACAAGACGACAGTGGGTGACGATGCAAAAAGTGGAAAGTAGAAAGGAAACAAAAGACGTTACGAAGGCGAAAGCATTATTATTCCGTCAAGACGGTTACGACGGTTACGAACTCTGGAAGTTTATTGTCATTTCTATAATTCTCAATCTCAATACCCTTTTTCCTACATATGTAAAATAAATAAATAAATAAAGTCTTTAAAGCAATTGAATTATGGCAACATATTACATCATTAACTCTTATATTGGGATAATAATTCTTGTATTGCTGAAATGAATGATTTGTGCTATAACAGTCCTAATAACTTAATTCTGAATACTCAACTCTCAAAAAATGAACACAATAATAAACTAGGTCCAAGCTTGATAAATATAACAACAGATTTAAAAATGTACAGAAAATCCTTGTTAATTCGAACTTGAATAGTTTGAAATCCCGTTAGTTCATAACTGTACTATTTGTCCTGGCTGGGGATATAGAGATTTACATGTTAAAGAATTCACTTAGTTCAAAATTCAAAGTGAAAATTCTGTGCAAACTGTGATATGAGTACATTAGCTTTTTTGTTTAGATTGAAGTGCTTTCATATAAGAAAACAACAGACCAAAAACAACTCTAATTTGGTTAATATGGCTTTGCTTTTATAGTAACACATGTTTGGATGTCACTCTATCAATGGACTACTCTTTTCTTATCTTATCTACTCTTTTTTTCTTATCTCATAAAATACAGCTGGGTTTTTGGATTGCAAGATTAAGCTAATTTCAAACTAATAAGGATTTCCTGTATATATTAAATGGCCATATAGTATTACCATAAAGAATATACTTGCACAGAGCATAATGGAAAATATAATATAATTGATTTTATTAACTGTTCTAAGTTTTTCTAAACCTGTGTGTGAACTTCAAAATATTAAGTTATGATGCATTAGACCCATTTTCCTTCCATTGCTAGATTCTTGATGACAACAGAAAAAGAAACATAAACTTAATAATAGTTATCAATGGAAAAATTACAATTTTTCAAGGTACAGTGGTGCCTTGTATAATGTACTTAATCCGTTCCAGGTGCATGTCCATTAAGTGAATAGTCTGTTATATGAAACGCATTTTCCCATAGAAATACATGTTAAAACATATAATTCATTCTGCAGCATAAAATAACCGTACTGTACCATAAAAAAATGAAAATGGAGCAGTCACCAATTATGCTGGGTAGTCAGATGTTGTGAGGAGGAGGTGGAGGAACACTTTCTTCACACATTCATACAGATACAGACTTTTTACACATTGCAGCAGGTCTTTTTTTTTTTTTTATTGTTTTTTAATCTGATTCAGATTCAGGAGAGGCTACCGAAGCTTGCAGGGTCAACTCCTCTAGTTCCATCCTTTGTTTTTTCCCTGTTGGCCTCTTGAAAAACATGTCCAAAGTGGTCTGTTTCTCTCTCTTCTTCAACACCTATCGGAAATGACAGGCAAGGGTATCATTGTAGAGATCATTGATACTGTTGGCCTCAGCTCTGTTTGGATAATGAGTGTTGGTAAACTCCTGAACCTCTCCCCATTCAACAAGGAAGTTTTTGTCAACTTTCACTCCTTCTGATGATTTTTTGCATTGTTTCAATTGAAATCACTTTTCTGTTTTTTTATAAGCCATGATTTGCAAAACACTTGAATAAATGTAAATACCCTGCACTGTGTTGATGTACCTAATAAACAAGGAAGCAAGCCTAATCCCAATGCTCTGTACTTTAGATATACTGATAATATATTCTAATAATACTAATATATTATAAAAATAGCAGATTGTCATTGGCAACAGCAAAAGAGTGAAAACATCATTCGCACTTGTTCATAAAAAGTCCATTGGTCGCCTCACGTAAATGCCGAACGGAAAGTCCGTTGTCCCAGCCAGTCCATTGCTCGAGTCATGTAACAGCCAAACAGATAGTCCGTTATTTGCAGCGTCCATTATTTGAGGTGTACGTTATACGAGGCACCACTGTATCAGGAAGAGATAGTAAATAAATTTAACTGTATTTCTGATTTAACTAATATTAATTATAGTGAAAGCTACATTTTTATTGAATGATTAATGAAAGTTATAAAACGATTAAAAATGTGAAAAATTAACATGTCCATTTCAAAAAACCTATATAAAAATATTAACAAAAATAAAAAAAAATATGTAGAGATAAAAGGATAAATGAAACATTTATCCTTTTATATGTAAAAAAAATATGTAGAGATAAAAGGATAAATGAAACATTTATCCTTTTATCTCTACATATTTTTTTTTTATTTCAATATGCTCAAATAATCTTTTATGCAAACTTTCTTTCCTATGTAATATCCTTACAGTATCCAATGCTATTTCACACCCATTTCCATTATAACACTTGCTAACTACTGATATACTCTGATTTTTCACAATTAATTTGATATGTAGAAACAAGTCTGGACAGCCTTGCCATAGCTAGATCACTTTTTTCTGCCAAAATACAAATCTAATTTCAAATATCTCACTGGCATATGTAACACTATTAGATCAAACCAATAGATTTTTCTATTGAGGAAAGGGTTATCCTTAAGGTATTGCTTTCTCCTCCCTCATCAACACAAATATCTTGATCCAAGATGATTTTCTAATTATCCTGGATCAAGAATTTGGAAAATTTGAAATAACTACGCAAGTATTGAAAGTAAAATCTTTACGAAGAAACTAGGAGATGTGTTTTAATCATTGCAACTGCTCTCCATTTTTGGGCTAGACTACTTCCCCCCTTTTCACAGGCTTGCTATGGATGATAAAATCTTATTAAGTTAGTATCACAAAAATTTCCAGTTAATATTTTTGTTAAATAATTTATTTCATATAATATAAAATATATATGGTTTTGTATAAGTTATAAAAATGAAACATGTAAATTTTATTATTAATTATATAGTTTATATACATAAATATGTTTTATAGCAACACTTAACTTTCAGCATTTTTTTCAGCTGCATCACTTTCTGGAAGATTCCATAAATCTTCTCTATTAATACCATGACGAAATGCTCTCCACATTAATTTTGATAACCATCCCACAGAAAGGAAAGAAAAAAAGCCAGAATGACTGCTAGGAAGCTCTGTTTTGCAACTACATTTGAAATATATATTTTAAAATTAATATTTTATACAATAACTTTTTTAAAATAATTAATTATTATTACCTTCCTGAAGGTCTCCACGGATATAAAATTTTCAAGGCATTTCTATATTTTGATTTCTTCTGTACTGATTTAGGCAATAACATAAATCCATTTCTGTAAATAAATAAAATTATGTTTTAAAATGTTTTGTTTAAACATATTCCATATTAAATCCAGTTAAACACAATCACAAAATGTGATTAATATAGTTACAGAATTATGTATCATTTATAGCATAACTAAAGTTGCCTGAATGCAAAGAATGCAGAGTCACTATCCACAGCATGGAAGTTATTCAGATCAAACTGCTGGAAGTATTCAGTTTTAAAATGTCCAGATTTTGTTTATACACTATAGTTTAAAACTATAGTGTATAGTGTATATGGTTGTTAATTTGATAGTTGTAGTATTTTATCCTGTTTTAAATTTAATTTTATGTTTTATGATGTTTATTTGTCACTATTTACATTAACTATTTTGAATTTTGTAGTTTAAATATTATGTTGGAATGTTTTTTAATTTTCAAATGTTTGTGTATCTTGACAATGGCCTATATAAAGAGGCCAAAAGCATTTGATTCCCAATAATCCCAATAATTATTTAACATAGTTTTAAAAACTTAAATATAATAAATAAAAGATCATTTAAGTTTTTAAATCTGTTAGATAATTTATATAAAATTTTGGAAACTAAGCAACCTTTATCATAAAACAATTATTGATTAGATGTAGAAGACGTGGTTGCTGTATCTTCAAATTATGTGTGTAGCGTCTATGTAATCCAAACGATAATTTTGGTAGATGATCAAACAGCAATTAGTTAGGAAAACGTTACGGTTTATTTAAAAAACACTTTTTTAAAAATTCAGATGCATTTCGGGTTGGCTTGTATTCCCAACCCCTCTTCAGTGACGTTATATAATGGTACAGTATAGACATGTGTGACAATATTTTTATTACATAGTTGTATGACTATTTCATTTTTAGTTAAAATGTATTATTCTTGATAAAAAATGGAACAGAGTACAAATTGACAATGGGTGTTATCCAGTGTTCACCGAGTAACAGTATACTGGCAACTGTTACTCTGTGAACACAATCACAGGGAATACAAGTTACTCAGGGAATACAAGCCAACCTGAAATGCATCTGAATTTTTAAAAAAGTGTTCTTTTAAATAAACTGTAACGTTTTCTAACTAATTGCTGTTTGATCATCTACCAAAATTATCGTTTGGATTACAAAGACGCTACACACAGAATTATTGATTACTTTTAACAATTACGTTTAATCATTCAATTATTTTTGTTTCTATAGATACTTTGTTAATGAGAGTTATAAAAAATAAAATAAACAAAAAAATATGAATCACATTCATTAGGTGTAAACAGTTTGAATCTAAAATTTTAAAATCAAGTAATTTGTGTGGAAGGGAAGAAAATGATAGATAGCAACAAAGAATTCCTATAATAAAATCTAGTGATTAAAAAAGTGAATTCTATTGATCATAGCTATTAAAAAAACTCATTCTTTTAAATGTAATAAATAATCACCTAGAAACATAAAACAGTATCATATTTTAACAATTTATCATTTTACGTATACAAAAACTGATCAATCAATCAATCTTTAGTCAATTTTAATACATAAAAAAATAGTGCAGTACAATCTTGCATTATCATAGTAAAAAAAAAAAAAAAATTCTTTTTGTTTCACTCTATGAATATTCATCTTAATGCTTTTAAGGTTTCACAACCATTTTCCCCCCTTAAACCATAATTATGTAAGACCAGTAAAAGAAACAAAAGAAATGTTTAAGTTATAAGTGGTAAAGTTACAGGTGTTTCTACTCCCTTCTTAGAGCTCAGACTTGTTACTATCAGAGTTCTTCTATTCCAAAATTAACGGTAATGCTAAACAATCAATGCTTTTCATTGGATGCTGAAATTGAAGTTGCATTGTAGGAATAGATCAAGGAAACATCAGAAAGTATGGAATGCAAAAAATGGACTCAATGTTTGAAAAAATATGTCATTTTAAAGGTAGTTATGCTAAAAAAAATGAATTTGTATAATCTTTGTAAAAAGAAATTACACAATCTTTTAAGTTCTATTTATCTTTATGCAACTGTATTTACATGTGTATTTTTTATGTCCACACTTATTTATTTTTATTTTTTTACTTTTTCATTTCTTGATGATCGTTTTTGTATTTTATTTATTGTTTGGGGTAAATAATTACTTTTTCTCCAGAACATTACTATACAGGGTGTATCAGTACAGTGGTTACAAACTTTCAGGAGAGATAGAGTACACCTAGACAATGGGAAATCACATAGCAATGCATGGTCGGAAATGCTTTCCTGGCACGATAGTGATGACACAAAACACAAGAAAGGAAGGATACAAACAGGATGAGAAAACATGTTTATTATTCTTAGTACAGCAAAAATCAAAAGGTTTATGTAGCGACATCTATCGCATACACCAGCCAAAGACATCCCAGCATTTTTGCTGTACTAAGAATAATAAACATGTTTTCTCACCCTGTTTGTGTCCTTCCTTTCTTGTATTTTCTGTCATCACTACTGTGCCAGGAAAGCATTTCCGATCATGCATTGCTTATGTGATCTGATTTTACAGATCGATCTATACAAAACGAAAAGTATATGCACTCCTAGTGTCGCTTGTGATCAAACATTTTTCCAAACTTGTGTGTACAAACATCAACAACCATCACCCATTATACAATAAACACACCAAACGATATGCCAAATTCTTGGGTTATGTAAAGACTATAATTAAATATTACAAATTAATTAATTTGACCAGAGGTAGGCAGTTATGCTGCTATCTCATATTAAATTTAATGACCAATTCCAAATTCAATTTTTAAAATGTCTAAATTAAAAATTAATTATTATAATTATTAAATTTAATACAAGATGGCAGCATACTCTAGTCAAATTAATTAATTTCTAATATTTAATTATAGCCTTTACGAAGCCCAAGAACTTGGCATATCATTTGGCGTGTTTATCAGATATATTATCTGTGATTTTTTTGTTTTCTGCAAACTGAATTTGCATTCCAGGTTGGTTCATTCCATATTAGAAGAAATGATGATGATGATTCACATTCATGCTCCGTAACAATGTATATTGTATAATTTTCCTTGAATAAACGTTATACATAAAATATTTGAGTATTTTTTTGGCATAGAACGCATTATCATATTTTACATTAATTTATATGGGAAAAATTGTTTCCCTTAACGAGTATTTCGCATTACGAGTAACATTCTGGAACGAATTATGCTTGTTAAGCGAGGTTCAACTGCATTTCTTTTTTTGGATGACACAATGAGTTTTACAGAATGTCGAGTTTTGTTTATTTTTCATTCAAATAGGATAAGAATTAATTTCTTTTCATATCCAATATTAAAATAAAAAACTAAAAATATTAATTATGATATAATAATTAATTTTTTTATTCAATCATAAAATATATTATTTTACTAATGTATAAAACTTTCAATTTTTATTTTGCATAAAAAAGTAGCTAATACAATAATAAAGAGATTTTAATTGCTTTCAAATGCTTCAAACACTCATAATATTAAACAATACAGTATTTTTAATTTTTTGTATAGATAAAACATAAAATAGCAAAATAAATCAGTTTTTTTCTTCAAAAAAACAACTCAAAAGATAATAAATATGAAATTCTAATCCAACACAGATTTTGTTGTAAATCGTTCAGATTTCCCTAAAAAGATGATTAATTTAACCATTAAGTTCTGACAGAAGTATAGCAACAGGAAAATAAAAACTTCAAATATACTAAGTCCCTTCAGAGATTTGACTAGTATATGTTTTTANCGATCATGCATTGCTTATGTGATCTGATTTTACAGATCGATCTATACAAAACGAAAAGTATATGCACTCCTAGTGTCGCTTGTGATCAAACATTTTTCCAAACTTGTGTGTACAAACATCAACAACCATCACCCATTATACAATAAACACACCAAACGATATGCCAAATTCTTGGGTTATGTAAAGACTATAATTAAATATTACAAATTAATTAATTTGACCAGAGGTAGGCAGTTATGCTGCTATCTCATATTAAATTTAATGACCAATTCCAAATTCAATTTTTAAAATGTCTAAATTAAAAATTAATTATTATAATTATTAAATTTAATACAAGATGGCAGCATACTCTAGTCAAATTAATTAATTTCTAATATTTAATTATAGCCTTTACGAAGCCCAAGAACTTGGCATATCATTTGGCGTGTTTATCAGATATATTATCTGTGATTTTTTTGTTTTCTGCAAACTGAATTTGCATTCCAGGTTGGTTCATTCCATATTAGAAGAAATGATGATGATGATTCACATTCATGCTCCGTAACAATGTATATTGTATAATTTTCCTTGAATAAACGTTATACATAAAATATTTGAGTATTTTTTTGGCATAGAACGCATTATCATATTTTACATTAATTTATATGGGAAAAATTGTTTCCCTTAACGAGTATTTCGCATTACGAGTAACATTCTGGAACGAATTATGCTTGTTAAGCGAGGTTCAACTGCATTTCTTTTTTTGGATGACACAATGAGTTTTACAGAATGTCGAGTTTTGTTTATTTTTCATTCAAATAGGATAAGAATTAATTTCTTTTCATATCCAATATTAAAATAAAAAACTAAAAATATTAATTATGATATAATAATTAATTTTTTTATTCAATCATAAAATATATTATTTTACTAATGTATAAAACTTTCAATTTTTATTTTGCATAAAAAAGTAGCTAATACAATAATAAAGAGATTTTAATTGCTTTCAAATGCTTCAAACACTCATAATATTAAACAATACAGTATTTTTAATTTTTTGTATAGATAAAACATAAAATAGCAAAATAAATCAGTTTTTTTCTTCAAAAAAACAACTCAAAAGATAATAAATATGAAATTCTAATCCAACACAGATTTTGTTGTAAATCGTTCAGATTTCCCTAAAAAGATGATTAATTTAACCATTAAGTTCTGACAGAAGTATAGCAACAGGAAAATAAAAACTTCAAATATACTAAGTCCCTTCAGAGATTTGACTAGTATATGTTTTTATCATTTGAAACTGTAGGTATGTTTTAATGTCAACCAGTTTTTGTTTAATTGAAACAATTTCTGTTATAGTGTTTTCATATCCTCTCATCATCCGATTTTTTATCTTTAACGGAATCATCTAGCCACTTAGCATCTTGCTCAAAGAAATTAACAGATTATCCATTGCAAATGGCATTATCAACAAACAAAGTATTCTTAGAGAAACAATATAAACTGGAATAATGACATAAAATATAGCCAAACAACCAGCATTTGATTAGCTGTTCATAAGCAACACCTCATAGTATCATTGAAGAAGCATGATTTTATATTATTTATCTGATTCTTTTATTAATTTAACATTTAACTTGAAACTATTTTGTATTTAACTTACAAAGAAAGGCCACAAGTTCTTATGAACACTTTTCAAAAAAATGCTTTGAATCTTGTAGATCTTGGTGTCCTGAGTAAGCAGATAAAACCATTCATTTGAAAGGGTAAAACAGAAGGAAAAATAAAACTTGAAAAGAAATACACACATAGTTAATAAGTACAGCACATTTCATGAATTATGTTTGTGCTGTAAAAATGCACAGAATTAAGAAAACAGATTGTTTGTTGAATATGTCAAGATTGCTGTGTTACCAAAAAGAGGCTCTTCAACTTTATAAAACTTTCAGAGCCTCAACTGACTTGTGAATACCACATATTGTCCATCCAAGATGTATGAAATGATCTGTAGTTCACCTGGCAATCTTTTTGATAACTGTGGTGTGGTATAGTTGGTTACATTTGTAGTTTTAGACTCACTGACTAAAGTTAGATCTTACCTTGTTCTTTTTTTAATATAAAAATAACTTTATTCAATTATATATATATTAAATAAATATTTTTTATTTAGCAACTATTATAAATTTATATTTGTCTTTAGCTTGATGACAAGAATCTGACTTGTGAATTATCAAAAGTACTGCACATGAAAAATACAATAATGATTGTTAAGTTCTAAAATAAAACACAAAACTATTATTAAAGAGAATGCAACACCATAAGACATCTTTGCACATCTAATCTTACAAGTTAAATTCATTGATTAAATTACAATTTGATTCATCAATTGTTCATTCATGTGCTAACTTTTGTGTTATTAAGGAAAAAGTTAACAATTGTTAGATTTTTATTTTATATATGGAAAGTAGCAGTATGCTAATAGATCTTCTATATAATGACTGTTCAAGAAAAGAAATTTACAAATTCAATAAAATATTTTCATGGTGAGTATAAATTTTTTTCACAATTAGTTTTCTAATACAAAGTTTTCTTATTAGTAAGATATGTTTTATTTTACTAATAAGAAAACATATTTAATTATTAATAATTAATTTTTTGTATGTTTTATTGTTGTTTATCTCATTTTTCATTTTTTGCTGTTTTAATTAATAATTGATTAAATTAAATTTAATTAATTTATTTGTTAAATTTAATTAATTAAAGAATAAATTGTCTAATATTAATGTTGATCGTAAGCAAAATATTTTATTGAATTGCTAAAAAAATTATTTATGTTGAAAGTTTAACATTTACTTCACATATATAACAATCATTAAACTGCTTGTATTTCTTTTCACATTGTTTCCTTGTGTATTGCTCATTCATGCAAATAGATTTACCTGCTTATAAAGGTTACCAAGATCTACAAGATACATAACATGTTATTAAAAAGTGCATCTTCCCTTGTTAAATATTTTATATCCTGATTCATTTTTTATGCTATTATTTAGACAAGATTTCTATTCCATGGTATGTTTTTAGATTCTTTCAATATAATTTTAGAACAAAGAATACAGATAATGAATACATATTTTTATCATTAAAATGTAACATTTACTATTTTAAGAGTTTCNATGTTTTCAAATTATGAAAAATTTCAAAAACAAAACTTCTAATCTAAATTGAAAGTAAGAAATATTTTTTTTAATGATAAATGTATAGAATGAAATAGACAGCTACAACTTGAAATGTCCTATTTGTTATACACTTATACATTGAAAAATATGTTCAATTCTGATAATTATAGTTACACAATAAATTAAATTAAAGTCATGAAGTTTCATTTTTATTATTTTTAACAAAGAAAAATACCTAGTATTTAAGCCTATCCGATACACTTTTCTCCATTATATTTTTTACTTTAAAATTACGTATTTGCTATAAAAAAATCAAAACATAAAATGTAGCTACTTTTATTAAAAAAAATTAAATTTGTGATGATAATATGTTTAATATATGTGATAATAATATATAATAATATGCTTACTAAAATATTTATACATATATAATTTCTATTTATATAAAATATATTTTCTACTAACTATTTAAAGTAAAAACAATAGAATCAAATAGTTAGAAAATGTTACTTTTTTGAACTCCAAAAGTTATCTTTTTCAGAGATTTTGGTTTCTTTTTCATCATCAGTATCAATATAAGGAATATTTTCTGAATCATTTCCTTGTATTTCATGTGGCAAAAGAATTGATCCTGTTGATAACCATTTGTGCATAGGAACATCATCTCTTCTTTTAGTAAGATTAAACATATTCTTAGGATAAATACCAGATGAAAGAAATAAACAACTTAGTAGAAAACAACTCTGAAAATGTTCTTATCAATCTCTGTTGAAAGAAAATGAAAAAGCAGATTATTATCATTAATGTACAGTATTCAAATATCAAATTTAAAAATATTACCAAGTAAAATAATAGATATAAATTATATAATTTATGATTCATTCATTCAATTTATTAACAGAAATATTTGTTTTATTACAACATTATTAAAATTAAAATATAATTTACACATTCAAAAATATATATTTATATATTATAATAATAATATATAATAATATATATATAAATTCTAGAAC